TGTGAGGATGTGATTTTTGGGGGGCCAAAGGGTGGAATGTTATGGTTTGAATTATGTCCCCCCAAAAATGTGTGTATCAATTTGGCTAGGCCATGATTCCCAGGGTTGTGTGGTTGGCCTCCATTTTGTGATTATGATTTTATGTTAAAGAGGATTAGGGTGGGATTGTAACACCACCCTTACCCAGGTCACATCCCTGATCCAATGTAAAGGGAGTTTCCCTAGGATGTGGTCTGCACCACCTTTTTCCTTACAAGAGATAAAAGGAAAAGGAAGCAAGCAGAGAATTGGGGGACCTCATACCACCGAGAAAGGAGCACCAGGAGCAGAGCGCATCCTTTGGACCTGAGGTTCCTGCGCAGAGAAGCTCCTAGTCCGGGGGAAGACTGATGATGATGAGGACCTTCCTCCAGAGCTGACAGAGAGAGAAAGTCTTCCCCTGGAGCTGACGCCCTGAATTTGGACTTCTAGCCTACTAGACTGTGAGAAAATAAATTTCTCTTTGTGAAAGCCATCACTCATGGTATTTCTGTTAGAGCAGCACTAGATGACTAAGACAGCTGGACTCAGTCTGGTAGAGGCTGTGGTAGTTGTGGTCCATTAGTCCTCTGGACTAATCTTTCCCTCATATCTTGTTCTCTTCATTCTCCCTTGCTCCCGAAGGGGTGAGACCAGTGGAGTATCTTAGATGGCTGCTCACAGGCTTTTAAGACCCCAGACACTACTCACCAAGGTAGAATGTGGAATATTTTCTTTATAAACCGTGTTGTGCCAATTGAGCTAGATGTTCCCCGAGACTATGGTCCCCACAGCCCTCCGCCCAGCAGTTCAGTCCCTCAGGGAGTTTGGATGTCTTTGGAGCTTCCATGACCTTTCCTTGTACAAGTTGTGCTGGCTTCCCCAGTATTGTGTACTGTCTCACCCTTCACCAAAGTTACTACTTTTCTGTTGTCTACTTAGTTCCCCCCACCATCCCTCGTAAACAACAAAGATTGTTTCTTTTTGTGTGTAAACTTTTTCATGAGTTTTTACAGTAGAGGTCTCATACAATATTTGTCCTTTTGTGATTGACTTATTTCACTCAGCATAATGTCCTCCAGTTTCATCCAAAGTTCTACATATTTCTTAATTTCCTTTATGATTTCTTATGTAATGCACAAGTTTTTGTTTTTTGTTCATTTGTTTTTTGTAACATGTCAATTAGCTTTCCACAATATGAGATTTTTTCTAGTGCTTACTTTTTTTTTTGTCTTTTTTAAAAGAACAATTTATTTTATTTTTGTTGTTGTTGAGAATATACATAGCAGAACATACACCAATGCAAGTTGCTACATGTACAATTCAGTGACATTGGTTTCATTCTTCAAGTTGTGTAACCTTTCTCACCCTCCTTTTTCAAGTTGTTCCTCCTCCATTAAGATAAACTCACTGTCTCCTAAAGTTCCTATCTAATCTTTCCAGTTGCTGTTGTCAAATTTAATCTTATATATATAGATCTTAAAAAGAGCCTATGTAGATAGATTTTAAAACAGCACAGTGCTCAAGGCATACATTCTTTACTAGTTAAGCTACACTATTGTTTGGTTTTAAGAAGACTTCAGGGATATTTTTGGTTTAAGGTTTAAAGATTATCTCAAGGCAGTAGTTTCAGGGGTTCATCTAGCCTCTGTGGCTCCAGAAAGTCTGGAGTCCATGAGAATTTGAAATTGTGTTCTTCATTTCCCCCCTTTTGATTAGGATTCTTCTATAGACTCTTTGATTAAAATGTTCAGTAACGGTAGCTGGGCACCATCCAGTTCTGATCTTTTAACTTTGCGGCATTGTGGTCTGAGATCCTGTTCTGTGATCTCCATTCTCAGAAGGTCTCTGAGGCAGCTGTGTGGCCCATTAGGAGGTCTGTTTTTGGGCATGCTGTCTGTGTGCCCTAAGGCAGTGTTTGGGATTTCTGGTGTGCTGGGTGGGGCTTGAATGTGCTCATCATGGGTTTCCCTTTTTGCAGTGTGGACAGCAGCATCAAGAGAATTAAAGAGCTGGCCTCATCGATGAGGATTCCCTCCGACTTTGACAGTGACCCCATGTCAGGGTAAATAAGGCCTGTAGGCTGGGTACACCTTCCTGACAGAGGTGACAAGGGGACCAGGGGGGTGGAGGGAGGGCTCTGGATGGTGAAGAGTCATCGGAGTGGGGTCCTGGAGAAACTGTCACCATGTTTGACTACCAGGACCCTTGACTCTTATGTTGGGAGACTGTGTCTTCATCCGTGTGCTGGGGTGGCAGTGATGGGGTGACTGTGGTTAGGGTTGAAAATCAAAGGGTCTAGGGTGGGGGTCCATATTGATCTAGGTGATGGTATAGGCAGCAGGTGACTGATGGGTGAAGGTGATAGGGTAGGAGATGACAGTGATGGGGGTGATGATGGTGAAAAGTGATGGTGATAGGACAGTGGTGGCAAGGATGAGGTGATGGGTTGATGGTGACGGTGATGGGGCAGTGGTGATGGTGATCGGGAAACAATGGAGTGATGGTGGCAGAGATGAAGTGACAATAGGTATTGGTGGGTGCATGGTGATGGGGCAGTGGTGATGAGGGTGATGGTAAGGGCAGCAGTGGCAGATATATGGTGATGAGGTGATGGTGGTGGGTGTGTGGTGATGCGGTGATAGTGGCAAGGGTGACAGTGATGGGATGATGGTGGTGGAGGGTGCTGGTGGTGGGCAGTGAGGGCAGGTCATGGTGATATGGTGACAGTGGTGGGCAAAGGTGCTGGGACAACTGATGATACCATGGTCTCTGTGCCAAGGTTTGTGGGTTGTGATTACTGTGTCAGGGCCCTCAGATTGGGGCCAGGAAACAACTCAGCCCCCTAAGCTCCAATCCCCTTGGCCAGGTTCCTGCTGTCTTGTTGCCACCATGGGAGGTTTCAGCCACATTTCATGTGGATGACATGGGCATACAGCCACACACACTGGTGCGTCATGGCTGGTGTCTGCTCCATGTGCTGTCTACCCCCTATCCTGGTGGATTTAGAAGCCCTCTTGATAGAAGGCCCACCCAGGCCTGACTGCCCCTTGGGGGAAGAGACTTGGGGATTCTGGCCTGTGTGGTGGGTTTGAGTTCCTGTCCTGCATCATGCCACCCTGTGTACCTGGGTGGCCTCACTGGCAACAGTGAAATCAGAGCAGGGCTGCTGGAGTGGAGGGATAGAAGTGTAGCCTGTGGCCCCCCCCAGCACCCCGCGTCCCCTCCAGTACCCTATGCCTCCTCCTCAGTACCCTGCGTCTGGGCCCCCTCCCTCTGCTCTGCTGGCTGTTCCTGCTCCTGGGCTGATCTAAGGCTGCAGCGTGCCCCTCCCCCACATGCAGGGAGCACCCGTCCTGTGCTAAGGCCCAGAGATGTGGCTTTCAGACAGCCCCACAGGAGATTCTGACCCCAACCAGGCTCAGGATCCAGGAATGGATGGTTGGCACCACGGGGGTGGGTGGGCTCTGGGCAGTGCTGAGGTGTTTTAGGAAGCTCACTCTGGCTGCTGCGAGGGAGATGGAAAGAGCCAGCAGGTGGGAGAGGGCAGCCAGCAGGTAGGCCGAGTGGCTTCCTGGTCAGAGGAGTTGAGGCAGAGGGAGACTGGGCCTGAAGGGGAGAGGGGGGATGGAGACTGGACACTGAGCACTGCCTGCTAGGAAGGGGGCTGGGGTGGGGACAAGGGCGGGGGTGCCCTAGTTTCTGCTTCCGAGATCTAGCCCTGCACAGCGGTGCAGGACGTGAGGCAGGTTTGGGGTGAAGGGCTTTGTTTGGGTGAGATGAGAGTGCGGGGACTGACTGAGGATCAGCAACATTTGAGGAGCAGCAGCAGGAGGAGATGAGAGGAGGGTTTGGTTCAGAGAGGTGGGAGGAAACAGAAAGAGCCCAGTCTGCAGAGCTTTGAGGAATCACGCTGGCTTCACACCAGGGGCATCGGGCGCTTGGCCAGAGCTGCTCAGGGGAGCTGTGTGGAAGTGAGTGCAGTGAGTGCAGACAGCTCTGTGCAGAGGTCTGGCTATGGATGGATGAGCAAGCATGTGGGAGGTGGAGGAAGAATCAGTGTGAATAAGGGATTTGTTTTTTTGCAATAATGGAGCCTTGAGCTGGGACAGTGGAGAGGGGGCAGTGCCGAGCCAGGTCCCTGGGGGCAGAGGAGGAGGAGAGACTTCCCTTGGCCGGTGGCATGGGGAGGGCCGGGCCAGCTCCAGAGCACCTCTCCCCCAGGGGTGTTTGTTCTCACAGCCAACCAGGTCAGCCCCACTGCACACCATGGCCCGCAGGGCTGCGCATCTGTGTTCTCTGTACTTGGAGCTTGGTGAGAGGTGCCCTCACACCTCCCCCAGGGCATTTTGCCCGCTCGCTGGGAAGTGCAGATGACTGGATCAATTTTGTCGCCCCATCGCCCCCCTCTTCCACCCTCCTACCCCTGCTCTCTTCTTCTCTCTGCTTTGTTCTTCTGAGCCCCCAGTGCCTAGCACAGGACTTAGCATGTAAAGGCTTAGGGGATAAGCAGCAGGCACTGGGAGGGTAGGGGGACCGGGTCTTCAGCGAACTACTCCTGTGACCACCCTCAGGTGGCCACCTGTCTGGGCCCCAAGGAGGTGTCCCTTGGTTGGACATCTGTGCTCAGCCCCCTTGGCCAAGGGCGCTGTTGTTTGTCCACAGAGAGTTGGTTCTTTGGCGAGGGTCCAGTCTCTGTTGCCCAGTGACAGCTGGGAGCCTGGGGGGAATCCCTGACAGAAGAACAGGCCTGCCCCAGCTCTGCCCTCCCCTCCCCGTTCCTCATTTCTAGATCCTGGCCCTCAGCTCTATCTCCCTCCGGACTACATAGTATGGCCATGTTGTCTGCGGGGTTGGCCTACGTCTTTTGCCCACACCCCCCCAGGCTTTGGCAGGTGAATCCTGTCCTGCCATCTCACATGGTCTTTGGCCTCATGTCCCTTCTCGGCTTGTTCCCGATTCCAGAGCTTTCTTGGTCCCCCATCATGGTTCTTTCGGATCTCCATTTCATTGTCCCCTCCCAGCTCTTTGCCATTCACAGGGCTGCCAGGCAGGACTGGTGTGTTTTTAAGCAGTGGTAGAAGCTCTGACTACAGACCCCCTAGACAGGCCACTGCTGACGCTCTGCCCTGACCCCATGTGACAGTGCAGGGAGAAGGCAGGGAGGTGAACCCGGGCTGGCTCCCAGCCCCCTCAGCATCCTCTCTGCGGCCTTCAGACTGGCTGTATTGTGGTCGACCTCGTGCCTCCCCAGTGTTGTGAGTGTGCTGGTGTCCCAGTTCCAGAAACAGCCGAGTCTTTGGCCTCCTGGAGGCGTCCTGTTCTCCCCAGGCCATACAGTCCCGCCACAAGCTCCTGTCCTGGGCTATTGCACCCCTGGGCTTTTGCCCCCTCCGTCAGGCTGATCCTACCTTCTGAGCTTAGCCTTCCAACTCCTTGACACAGGAGGCACCCCTAGCCTTGGGAGGCCCCATTTCTGCCTCAGTCTTAGTCTTTGGGAGGCATGGTTCCATTTACACTGTGGCTTCGGATGGTTTCATGCCCCACCCTGAGACCAGCCCTCAACTGTTGTGTGTTCTTAGAGCCTCATGCCTGCTTGTGCTACTGGGTGCTGCCCGTGGGGATCCCTGAGTGAATTTACTCATTCATTCGTCAGATATTTATCGAGCACCTACTGTATACCAGGTGCTGGAGATACAGTGATGGCCCAAAGTAGGCACAGGCTGTGCCCCCAGGAAATCCATAGCCAGAGGGGAAATGCCCGTTAGTCAAATGCTCACACAAAGAAGCGTGTTTGTAAACTGAGAAAGGAATTGGATTCTGAAAAGAAGTCAGGCTCCTCCTCTTCGGGGTCAGGAAGGTGTCTGAGAGGAAGTGATGCTTTGAGCTGAAGTCTGAGGGTGAGCAGGAGTTAATTAGGCGGAGGGGTGGGTGAGGAGGGAGAGAAGGGTCAGCCAGGCACAAAGAAGCACTGTGCAAAGGCCCTGAGGCAGGACGGAATCTTTGCTTTTGAAAGCTGAAAGGAAGGAAAGCCTTGTGGCTGAAGGCTGAGGAGGCATGCAGGGCCTGGTGGGTCTGTGAGGAATTTTATTTCATTTATTTTTAATTAAAGACTAAATTTTACTTTATTATAAACTTTTCTGTCTGGTGAGGCATGTCCCAGATCTTTTTTCTGCTTTTGTTGTAACTATAGCTTACATAAAGGACAGAAAGATACACACACGTCTTTAAGAGGATGGTGCTGGGGCCACATGTGTCTGGCCTTCCTGCTGTGACGTCAGGGATCAGGAGGAGGAGCTAGGAGGCTTACTTTCCTTTTCCTGAAAGGGGAGGGGATTGAGGCTGAGTGGCCCGTGATGGAAAGAAGGGAAGTCCAGGGCAGGAGGCCCCTGGGTGAAGGCAGAGGCTAACATGGGGTGAGCTTGGGTGCCATGTGGTGTGTGTGTGTGTGTGTGTGTGTGTGTGAGAGAGAGTGTGTGAGAGAGTGTGAGAGAGAAAGAGAGAGACGTGTTTGGCAGACAGAGGAATTGGTGTCTTTCATTGTGCTTCTCTAGCAGAGGACCTCGGAAGAGCTTGTGGGGAGGAGAAGCCGGTGAGGGATTGCCTGCGGTTGGGCAGAACGGTGCCTTTCTGCCCCCTCTGGCCTGTCCTGGGCCTCACAGCGGCCGATGGCCCCCGTTTTGCAAACGTGGTTAGGCGCTCTTGAATCTGGGGCGTGGAGCGTCTGTCCCTAGGCTGTGGGTGGGCCCTGCTGAGGTTGTGCTGCCTCTGTGGGCTGGTGAGTGGAAACCCCTGGTCCCAGGCCTGGTAGGGTGGGGCCCACACCCTCCCCAGAAGCCTCAGGGAGGCCACCGTCCTGCAGCTGACAAAGCATCTTCAATGTTTGAATCCGTGTGGTGCACTTACCCAGCATTTGCCTTTTAATAGAAGAAAGTTTGGCCTCACTCTGGGAGCTTGGGAGGAGTGTGAGGCGCTGTCTGCCTTTGAAAGTCAGTGTTGGTGAACTTCCCAGCCTGGGACCAGCTTTCTCAGGGGGAAGGCCCTCCACTCTGCCAGGGTCCTTGCTGGTGGGCCTGGGTCGGGCTGGGAGGCCAGGTTCTTCTTCCAGAAAGCACGGCCCCCTCCGTATCATCCCCTTAGCTCTCAGTTTTCTCACCTGTAGGGTAGCCATGCTGACTAGACTGTGAGGAGCCCCGGGAAGGGGGTGTGGACACCTGGCAGGGTGCTTGGCATACAGCAGATCTGCAGTGAGTGACAGCTGTCATTATCACTCTCGGGGCGGCAGCCTGCCCTGGGGCTGTGTGCCCTGCACGCCTTGCCCCCTGCTCTGGCCACACTGGCCCCCGCGCTCCTCGAACTTCTCCCCCTCTCTGTCCCCTGTGCTTCCTGAGTCATTTTGAGTTAACAGCTGCTCCTTCACTGGACTGTGGGCTCCCAGATGCCAGGGGCTGGTCTGTCTCATCCACTGTTGAGTTTTGGGCTCAGATCGCACAGTACCTGTCTTGTAGCACGTGCTCAATGATCGCCTGTTGATCGGTAGATGGCGGTGGACAAGCTGTGTGTATGGGTGGGGGAGATGCTGGGAGATGCTTGAAGACCTCTCTCCCATGCACCTGAGTGTGGGGACAAGGGAGGCTAGACCCTGGGTGACGTGCTTTACATATGCTCACAAAGAACCCCATTTTACACATGAGGAAATGGGGGCTAAAAAGAGGTTCAGGCTGCACCCTGGATATTGCTGTATCTATTGTCTAGAGCCTCTTCCAGCAAGTGGGGGCCCCTGGGAATGGGTAAGGTGTGGACTGCTGGTCCTGGGGAGAGGCGAGATGCCCCTGGTCATGACTGGCCCTTTGGCAGGTTCGGGGCGACCGTGGCCATTGGCCTGACCATCTTTGTGTTCTCCGTTGTCACCATCATCATCTGCTTCACCTGCTCCTGCTGCTGTTTGTACAAGATGTGCCGCCGACCCCGTCGTAAGCATGCCCATCTCACCCGCCCTACAGCGAGCCCCCATGTGCAGTGCAGACCCCTGTGTGGGCAGGAGGGGCTGACCAGGGCCCTGCTTTGGCTAAGCTGGAGGGAGGGGCGGCAGGCCTGGCCCTCAAGGTCTGGGGAGATGGAGGGTCCTGACTGAGATTCTCTTTCCAGCGGTCGTGACCACCACCACATCCACCACCGTGGTGCACACCCCTTACTCTCAGCCTCCAAGCATGCCGCCCAGCTACCCCGGACCAACGTACCAGGGTTACCACCCCATGCCCCCTCAGCCAGGGATGCCGGCAGCACCCTACCCGACGCAGTACCCACCACCCTACCCAGCCCAGCCCATGGGCCCACCTGCCTACCATGAGACATTTGCTGGTGAGTACCACGGCTGCCTCTGTGGCCCTGCCTGGCCCCCAGACCTGGGGCTCCCACCTCTGCTCGTTCCCAGGGTATCAATCCCAGAGTACATCACTGAACAGGCCCTCCGCCCCTTCCTGCCCACAGCCAGCTGTGTCCTCTCTCTTTTCAGGAGGTGCAGCCATGCCCTACCCTGCCAGCCAACCTCCTTACAACCCGGCCTACATGGATTCCCCAAAGGCAGCCCCCTGAGCATGCCCCTGCCTCTCTGGCTGCCACTGTCATTATGCCGTGTATATATGAATGGTTATGCTGACACAGTTCTTTTCTACCCCATGGTGTGTGTGTGTGTGCGTGTGTGTGTGCGCGTGCACGCGCACGCACACCCTCTCTGTACATGTGGCTTCCTCTGATGCCGACGAGGTGGGGAACAACCCTTGCCAGAGTGGGCTGGGACCAAACTCTGTCCTCTTCCTCACTTGAGATTGAAATTATGGTTTCGGAAATCTTAAGCAAACTTCAAAGAATGGGGAGCAGGAGTTCTTTCGAGAACACCTTGGGGAAGTTGGATGGGGTTTGCCACACTAGGATAGCACAGCATTCTGTTGGCAAGAATTTCAGCAGAGTGTGTCCAGTATTCTGTGTCCTGGTTTCGGCAGAGTGGCCAGCTACTGCTCGAGGCCCCGGCTTCCAGGGCATGGGGTGCCCTTCTCAGAGCCAGACACACGCTGCAGGCAAGTGGGTGAAATTGGGATCTTGCTCAGTTGGGTTTTGATCCTTTGGGCGGAGGTCCCACAGCTCCCTGGAGCCTCTGCCATGCCCACTGGGGGTTGGTGATATCAAAACACCTCAGGCACAGCCCCACCCACCTCACGGACTGTTCTCAGGGCCAGTTTCAGCACCTGACAGCTGTCTCCCTGCACTGTCTCTGCACCCTCCCTGGGACCACCTGGAGGGCCAGGGCCGCCCACGGTTCTGGCTGCCTGTGGGGAAGCTTTCCTGCCCTTGTTGGCCTGGCCCTTGCCATCAGTGGGCAGGATGGCCTCTGTCCACCAACAGACTCAGGTCTCCTCCCTGCGCTGTTTTTCTTTTTGGTCAAGTATTCTGCCCCATGTTCTGTTTCAAACATGTGTGACAGTTGCTGAGGCTGAAACTCATGGGTCCTGGGGGGAAACTGGCTGACAGAGTGGGCAGTCTGACCTCTGTGTCCCTGCTGCCCCGACACCAGCCCTACAGAACATCCAGCCCCTTGTACCTCAGTCCACAACTCATCCTGGCAGCAGGACACCTGGACCGAGGGGCTACCTGGACCAAAGGTGGGGCAGGGCTGCGGGTGGCAGCTCAGGCCCAGACATGAGTACCTCGGTGTTCTTGTCCTCTCGTTTCACCAGAAATGTCTTAGCTTTGTTTCTGCTGCTATGTTTCTGAGAAATGTTCTGGCGTCTGCACTCATTTATAATAAATGCAAACATTTGGAACTGCTTCCCTCGTTCTTCATAGCCTTGGCTGCTAGGATTGAGTATTAGGCCGCGTACCATTTCCATCCAACACTTGGGTTTTCTGTGATCTTGACCTACTTCCTTCCTACTTTTATTAGGCTCAGACTTCCTGCTGGGGAGAGACAGAAACTTGTCACCTTCTGTGTCCCCCACCCCAGAGGGCAGCGTGTCAGGAGGCGAATGACCACTCAGTGCTGTTGAGGGTCTTTATTAGATTTTCCTCCTTGGCCCTATGGCTGAGGCGTGGCCAGGGACAGCCCATACAGTGTGGCTACTGCCAAGGTCAGGAAGGCCAGCAGACCCAGTGGGGCTAGCAGCCCCTCCCTGGATGGGGCTCCAGGGCCCTCCATACAAAGAGGACTCTTGGGCCTCCTGCCCCCCACAAGGTTGGGACTGGTGTCCCTGGCTGTGACCAGGGCTGCAGTGGCTGTGGGAGCTGATGGGCCTGGGTTGGTCCTAGTGGAGGCTTCAACCCTATACATGGGCGTGACGGTGCTGAAAGGCCTGGCGTGAACGTCTACCCACTGCAGCAGGGCCTGTGGCCTCCACTGGCAGATGCTGACCAGGGCCAGCACGTCCCCCTCGGCCGTGTGCGAGTCTGGTGGGGCCTGCCCATAGAGGCGTGTGTAGATGCTGCCCAGGCTGTAGCTCTTCCTTAGGCCGCGCTCGGAGGGGCTGCTGGCACACTCCAGGGCCTTCAGGGCAGTGATGCTGTCCACACAGAAGGCACGGTCCAGAGCACTGGCAAGGCCCAGTGCAGCCAGCTCTGCCTGGAGCAGGGGGAAGTCATAGCGGTCCCCGTTGTGTGCCATGAGGCACCAGGGCTGTGGCTGGCGCTGCAGGAAGGCTCGGAGCAGGTTGGCCAGGTCAGCATTGAAGCGTTGACGCCCATGTGCCGCCAGTGCAGCTGTGCTCAGTCCCGTGATGTCGCTGGCTGAAGGGCTGCAGGCCTTCCCCGGAGCCACGCATAGGGAGAGCTTGTCTACCACGCGGGGCAGCCGAGGTACTGTGGGAGGCGGCCCCTGAGGGCTGGGGGAGTTCTCCAGGGCACATCTGTGGATGGCCAGCATGCACAGTTCCGTGACCTTGGGTTGGGAGAAGGGCAGGCCAGTGGCCTCCAGGTCCAAGAAGATGAGAGTCTGCATGTGACCCCCGGACGGGGCCTCTGAGCCCATGGAAGGGGCTAGTACCTGCTGCTGAGCCTAGGGAGGAGCATGGGGTAGGGGTGCGGTGTGTGAGTGTCTCAGAAGATCCATGGTGGGGGTGGGGTGGGGGCAGGAAGCTGGCTCAGAGAGGGTGGGGTGGCTTTCTCAGTGCCAAGAGCGCTCAACTGTGGGTTTGTGTGGGGGTCTCCTTCACATGAGTTTGGCTCCTCCCCTAGTGCCCACCTTGGGGGGAGCACCCATGGCCATCCTACACACCCTCCCCCCCACGCCCCACGTTTTCCTTGTGGGGGGGTCTGCACTCACCGCAAACAGGCGGGCAGCAATCACTCAGGGCGCACACGTTCCCTCTGGTTCTCCTGGCCGGCTGGTAGTAGCGGGAAGTGAAACGGAGCCCAGGCCCCTCCTCTCGCCCCCGCGTAAGACCCGCCTACGGGCCCCACGTGAGCAAGGCCCGCCCTGCTCTTCCTGTTCAGCCGGCAGCCGTCCCACCCCAGGCATTCCTCCTGTCCCCGCGGTGACACCCCAAGGCCTTCTCAGATGCACAGCTGTGTGCCTGTCGCTGGCACAGTGCGCCAGGGTGCTCACCCCAGTGAGAACGCCGGCTGAGGACGTGATGCGCAGGCAGTCCCGGGAGGCTACTTCCAGGACTAGCTGCTGCACTGCCGGGAGCCCCGGGCGGGGCCCTTTTGCACCCACCCCTTGGCCCACTTTCCAGGCCTCCCTAGTTTAGGCCTAGGGTGACGGCCCATCCTTCTCCACACAATGGTTTCTTCCCATGGCCCCGGTCCAAAACAATGACTCGGGGAAATTATGCAAGCAGGGCAGGGCTCCTTAAGGCAGATGAGTTACCAGGGGGACAGGATCTCTTGGCTCTAGCCAAGGACAGGAGGAAAGATCCCAGCCTTCCTTCCCTGGGTCCCTGATGGGGTGCGGTGCCATCCCTCCCACTCAGCCAACACAGATAAGACTCAGGAAACACAACACCAAAGCTGGCGTGTTCTCGGCAGGAACGGCCGGTCGCTGCTTTTAATCAGTTAATGAAGTGAGGAAGATGGTGGTGCTGCTGACGATGCTCAAGGGCCTCAAGCACAGTCCATCTCTGGGTCGTCCACATCAGTCTCGGCAGCACAGAGGTCATCCAGGGCCGCCTCTGAGCCAGAAAGAAGAGGGTTCTATGGTGAAGGTCCGAAGGGGCTGGGGGCTGGGGAAGGTCCCACCTCTCCTTCCCCAGTGCCCGCAGGAACTAACCAGTCCCTTCTATGCCCAGGCCTTGCTTCCTCAGCTACTGCAAGCAAAGTGACACAAAAGCAATTCAGACAGGGATATTTCTGGAAAAACTGTGGTTCTGCCAGGCCAACTCAACAGATATGAGCAAAAGGCAGCTCAGTGTGCTCAGAGAAAAACCAGAGCAGGAAGACAATGAGCATGTCCTCAGGGCCAGAAAGGCTGTGGCAGATGGTGGGGGTGTTGCTAAGTGAGGCCAGGAAGTCGGCCTTGTCCATGAGCTTCAGGGAAAATGCCACGTGTGGGCGGGTCCTCTTGCCTGCTCACCTTCACAGTCTGTCACGTCAGGGAGCCCTCGGATCAGCGTGCTGACCCCTGGCATCACCTGGTCATACTGGTGCAGGACCTCCACGCAGTGCACAGTGAAGAGTTTGTCCTTCTGGGACAGGCTGTGCAGCAGGAGCACCGTGTCCCGCAGACACCGCACTGTCCGCTTGTGCCGGTCAGTCCTTGGGGGCCCCTCTGCCCTCCGCACTGTCAGCCACTGCCTGTGCAGCATCACCGTGAGGGCTCTCACCACCTGGGGGGGGGGGGAGGGCAAGTCTCCTAGCTTCCTGTGCCTGAAAAACCTGCACAGCTGGGCAGCACATTTCCCAGCATCCCGGCTGAGGAGGGTTCTGAGTGCTGGGCACCAGGGTTAGGAGCACAGAGTCCTTGCACAGGGCCACCTTCCCCACTTGCAGAGCTGCCACGCTGTTGACCGCTACCTGCCCCTGGCCACTCACCTCCACGTTGCAGTGGCAGTCGGAGCCAGTGACTGGGGAGGGGCTCTGCACACCAAGCTTTGCCAGGAGCCACACCGCCTGGAACAAGAACGAGGCTGTTCCATCCCCAGCGGAGTGAGACCACGACAGGCAGGGCCTTGCCCAGCTTCTCCTAAGAGCTCCAGTTGCTTTAGCAACTGCTTATCTGCACAAATGGGGTCCAAGAGTGGTGTCGTGGGGCCTTCCCAGGCCGGACTCAGGACCCATGCTTGTGTCTCACCAACAACCCACCTGCCTCCAGGTTGTTTCGGCTACCAGGCCCCAAAGCCAGGAGAGGATCAGTCACCAGGCAGCTCTGCCCAGTCCCAGGATAACCTGGGAGACACCTGTATCCTGTCTGTGGTGTGGCACCCCCGAACTGAGTTCGCCTCCTTAAGTGCTTGATAAACTTACTAACAAAATGAGTTAAAGCTCCCTCTCTCCCTGGGCCAGGAAGGATGGAGAAAGGAGGTCTGTGAGCCTTGAGGGTGGAGTGATGAGCAGTCCACAGAGGGGTCTGGAATTTTTACCTCTTGTTCCAGCTGGAGCCACTGTCTGTCCGAGGCCATTTTGTCAGGCCTTGACGTGATGTACATGTACAGCAGCAGGAGGAGGCAGCCCTCTGAAAAGGATGCCCCACCTGTCACTCAGGGTGCCCTTCTCACCAAAGCCTGGGGGACAAGCTGCAGATGCCCTTAGGAGGCCCATGACCCTGTACCCGCCCTAGCACTCCCCTCCAGCCTGCAGTGGTCTGGATGTCGGCCCCGCCTTGCTTTACCCGAGTGGGAACAGAGCTGAGGAGCGAGCTTCTCGTGGTCCACCAGGAGGGAGAGGAGCTCAACAGTCAGCAGCACGCTGGGTATGGGCGTTTCTGGGCTGAGGCACTGTGGCAGCACCCGGAACACACACTGGAACCTAAAAAAGAGGCCCAGAGAGACATGACACTCCTCAACCCCAATTCACCCTCAGTTTTCACTAGAGGTAACAGGAGTCGGAATACCTGTTTCCCCGTTGCTAATCCGTCGATTCCCACTCATAGCAACCCTACAGGACACAGTAGTACCGCCCCATAGGGTTTCCGAGGCTGTAATCTTTACAGGAGACTGCCACATTTCTCCTGCCAAGTGGCTGGTAGGTTCAAACTGCCCGCCTTTTGGTTAACAGCTGAGCACTTAACCACTGTGTCACCAGTGCTCCTTCAAAATCCGAGTAGGGCAGTACGAACAGACAATGTTCAGACCTGGCTTCAAACGCTGGCCTGACGACCACCCACTCGCTAGGAAACTTGTCTTCTGTGAAAACGTGGGTACTAAGCTTCCCTGCAGGGCTGCTGAGGTGGAGAGCCAGCACGCCCTCACCTGACACAGCATCCGTCAGTAAAGGGGAGGACTCCCTGGACCTGGGGTGCCCGGCTCACACACAGCTCCTGGGCTCTTTCCTGCCTCCTCCTCCAAATAAGGGTGCAGGTCATCATTTGGTGTGCGAAATGTTCTGTGCCCGCTAACCGACTGGCCGGGGCTCCCGAAGTAACACATGTGGGCCTGGCTCTGGCTGGATCCTGAGACCACTCAGAACAAGACGACCATTTTCTCCACTTGTCAGAAAACACAAATCCTCTGCTGCCAACTGTGAGAAGACGGCCACTGTGGGTGTGGACACTGGTCAGGGGCTCTGGGAACACCAACACCCAGGTCCCAGGGGCAAAGGGACAACTTTTACCAAGGACCCAGGTCCCAAGGCAACCACTGCTGTTTGCTCAATCCACATAGCCTGGGGAGCAATTCTACAACATCCTTTGGGTCTAGCTTCCCGCGCATCTCTTCGTGTGTCGGCAGTGTTTCAGCAGAGTATGTTCCTAGATACGGGTCAAGACTGTCCCTCAGTCCGTCACCAGGAAGCAAGGTCTCATACGATTTTGGGTGAACTCATTTTAGAACAAATCCTCAACAGCAGAGAAGCTACATGTTCTTCAGCTGTCAGGGAGCGTGGGACTTTGTCGGAGACTGAAATTTAACCTGGTCGTTACCTGAATTATTAGGCTAGAAGTGGCCCCTAACTAGTCCACTAAAACCAAAACCCATTGCCATCAAGTTGATTCTGACTCATAGTGACCCTATAGGACAGAACAGAACTGCCCCCAAGGGTTTCCAAGGAGTGGCTGGTGGATTCAAACTGATCTTTTGGGTAGCAGCTGAGCTCTTAACCACTGTGCCACCAGGGCTCCAAACTAGTCCAATAGGGCCCCTGAAACTATCTTCAAGAAAAACCTACCTTTAATACAACACAGTGGTTTCTCACCTACTTTTTGATAGCATTAGAACCTTCTTTTTAAATGAAATTTTATATTTGAAGCGGGCGAGTCCTATTTGCTCAGAACCCCTTGCTGTCCCAGTCTCTGGGGGACAACCCTGGACCCCTAGGGCTACAAGGGATGCAGTAGGAACAAGACAAGCATAAGAGGGATGATGTGCTTTAAAGCCTGGGTGGGCGAGGACCTCCCTTTTAAGGCTATCGAGGAACAGAAGATGCTGCAGCCTCCCTGGTTACCTGTATTGCATCACACTGCTTTCGAGCCTCGACAGCGCCCTGCCCCGAGCTTTAAGTTCAAGGTGGACAGGAAGCTGCGTGTAGTGGGGTTCAGCTTAAGCATGTAAAACATAAAGGAATTCTGTAGAGAATCACTGAGCGGGAGGTGGTACGAGACAGTGATGAAAGGCAATGGCTCGGGAGACTACAGCTGGCCTGAAAGCCACCTCACTCCCAGCATGCTCCCTGTGGCACTTCAGACAGGTTTCCCTACCTTAAAACAGGGTTTATTCACTCGACAAATAATGCCTGAGTGCTTACACTGGGTCAGGCTCTACACTAGGTGTGAGGACGCAGGGTTATGAGGGTGTCATATGAGCTGTGAGTGGAAAGCATCTGTCACAGTATCTGGCTTATAGCACACCCATTTGATGGCTGTTTTTGAATGTCCCATGGACAGGCTCACTAGGAACGGGATGTTGGTGTATCTGTTTAACAAGCATGAAAGAAGCAACCAGCTACTACTGCAGGCCCCTGGGGGACAGCTCTGTCCCCCAGCATGCTGCTCGCATTACATTGCAGTACTGTGGCCAACCCTGAGCACCACCTGCAGAATGGACGAGACCAAATAGAAGCTATTCGGATGGAAACCAGGATCCAGAAGTGTTTTAGGAAATGGGAATGCTGAGCTCAGAGACAAGATGACTTAAAATATGTCCAGCTGGTGGAGTCATTCCGACTGGCCCTTTGGTGGAGTGCTGAGGGGGGTCTGGATTACTGGATAGGGGGTAGACTGAATGGTGTTTGCAGTTCCTGCCAGTCTGAAGGCCCTGGAATCCTAAGCTAGGAATATGTGATTACAGTGCTCATTAGCTAGCTTCACTATATTACCACTTCCAACAAACCTCAAGAGGAGCAAGTGACCTGTGGCTCATGCCAGCAGTGAGCACAACACAGAGGTACAGACTCCCAGCGGGTCAGCCTGGGAGCTGCAGATCCTCCCCACACCCTCTGCCTCCTTAGGGAATCACCAAACTTAAACGTGGCTGTGAGTGCGTGGCCTTCACCTGATCCATGTCCCAGGTTCAAAGGCCTCTTGGTTCAGCCTTTGTCTGTCCTGGGGTACAGGGCATTCTTTCATGGTAGCTAACAGCCTCCTTTTATCATGTGTGCCTTCTGCTTACCTGCTGTACAGAGGCAGAATTAAACCAAATAAACCAGTTCCTTGGTTCTCCCAATACCTGGCCCCACTTCCCAACACTTCAGTACTCCCTGAACTGAGTAAACAAGTCAAGGATGTGAGCAAAGTACAAGGGTCACAAGACAGACCTTCAGAGGCCAGGCAAGACCCATAAAGTACCATGACTCCCATGCTGCTTTATACCTGGGCAACAAATCAAAGGAAGCATTTTCTGCTAATTTCACCAAAACCTTAAGGCTCTGGCTCAGGATGCTGGCTCGAACGTGACCTGTTGCTGCAGAAGAGAAAGCCAACAAGTGAGGAAGCATCTTGAGTAGCGGATGCTGGGCCTGGTCATCAGCAATCCCCTTAGGGGCTGAGGTCACACCATGACCATGTCTGTGAAGTAGGCTCTGGTTTCCTTCCCCAGAAGCAGTGTCCGCCCCCACTCCTGACAGTAATAGGTGGACGACTGCTCCGCTGTGGCACACCAGGTGCTGAAGAACGCTAAGTGAAGCCACAGAGAAACTTTCCAGGTTGCAAAGTGAGTCCTCGAGGCTGGCCTCTACCCCCGAGCTCACACAGGAGGAATGTGTTGGTGAGTCCCCAGGTGCTCCACTTCTCTTGGCTGCTGCCAAATCCTGCAGAGCCTGGCAGTGTAAGCCGATGAAGAACTGTACAAGGGGGAGGAGATGCACAGCTCCAGGAAGCTGGCAGAGTGGAAAGGTCCTTCTGTCTCCCTCTGCTGGGTCTTGGTCACATGAACCTTCACTCCTGGCAACCAGATTCAGTCCAGTGAATGCCAGGTTCTGTGCTTCTCTCAGGGCTGACAAGGAAAACGACCCTTCACGAAAACCTGTGGTCCTGAGGCCTGAAATCCCAGCCAAGGTACTGGCGACAAACACAAAAGAAAAGAGACAAGTGTGGGATGGAGAGAAGGTCAAGGGCCCCAAACTACCTCCCTGCCAAACTCTCTAGTCTCCCAGCCCAGCCCAGCCCACAGACCTCCCAGGCTGGTCAGGGCCAGAAAGGAGCTGCTAAGGAGCTTGCTTCTGGGCAACTCCTTCCCGAATGAGCTTTTTAGGAGCCTTACACTTACCTGCCGAAGCCTGGTGGCTGTAAAAGGGTGCCAGGAAGAGCCTCAGAACAACTGCTTAGGAGGTGGCACAGACCTAGGGATGTCCCTGGGATCAAAGGCTGCTTCAAAAGCAGGTTTATCAAAATGGAACCTGCAGAAAACAAGGTGATTCTAGGAAGTTCTGACAGGGGAGGCTTTTTCTAGGGCCTCAGAAGGAAAATTTGGGGGTTCCTTGGACACCAACTACCTTCTAAGCTAAGGGCCTACTGAGATGCCTGAAGGCTCTGGGACACACTTGCTCTTGGCCCTTTCCATTTTACAAAGTCTTCTGCTTAAGTCACAGATGACCACTCCTCGTGACTCTGAAGGAGTGCCTGGCGCTCTGGTTTTCAGAGCCCCAGACAGTTCCCCAGGGAATTCTGCTGTGGAGCCAGCCTTTGCAGAGGACAGTCGGAGCCATGCAGGCAGAGCAGGGATTCTGGTACCTTGAGTATGTGATCTCTGCATCCAACTGTCAACAAGAATCTTCTGGGCCTCTTCTTGTTTTATGGATTCACCTCCCAGACTATGGCTCTTATTTTCTGAAATTAGGTAAAATGTGAATCAAAACTTGAGCTTAAAAGCACAGGCATCTCAGAAACTCTTACATGCAATGCACTTAAAACAAAGTCAAATTGTTCTACTTCTTCAACCTTGGGTCAAAACAAGAGCCAGCACAGCTCAAGAACCTTCACATGTTTTGTCTTCCTCATGTAAACTAGGAACTTGCCCAGGAAAAAGAAATTGTTTGCCCCACTACAAAAGGAGGCAACAAGATAAGAATAGTCCCTACTAGCACTTACATGTACCAGCCACTGTTGTAAGAATTTTATACATATTAGTTCATTTGTCCCTCATAGAGGAGGTGTTATCATTAGCCTTGGTAATGAGAAACTGAGGCACAGAGGTTAAGCCAGTAAGGGGTGTGACTGGTGACTAGGACTCACATCCAGGCTGTTGGGCTCCACTGCCTGCTTGTGACACTAAGCAACACTTCTTCTTCGAAACCCTTTCGTTACTACGTTTTTTCTACTTATTTATTTATTTAGATGGCACGTGTTTTCAGTATTGGAATGGATGCTTACTAATTGAATGTGTTTAAATTTTTGGTTGGTAATATGGATTTTGAGAAATATGATTTGGTGATACAAGCCACCAATGAGGTGGGTGGCGCTGTGGTGCCACGGATCTGTGCTATGACAATATCCCAATGAGAGCGATATAGATAATTTATTGCGGGCACCTTTCCATTAGGTTACATGGGGAACCTCTGGTTTTCCAAATATGACACAGAGAAACCAAAACAAACCCATCAGGGCTCCCTAATTATCATACAGGAAAGCCATAATCATGCTCGCAAACCTTATCTCACAGAAATAAAGGAAAAAAGGCAAAAGTGTACAAAAATTTACAAAACTAACACATCCAGGAAGCATCACCTAATACAATGCTCAACCTATGCAACAATGAGGCTTCAACTCAGGTCTGCTGAGCTTCATGCATTTCAGAAGGGACCCACCTTGACACTAAATGTGTTAGAACCAGAATAATGCCTTACCTCTGAAGTCCAGAGGCATAAAAAGTGGCTGGTATACCATTAATTACTAGATGCCAAAAATGTGAATGGGCTGCAGTTTCTCATAGGTGGCATAATGGCCAATGATTTAAAAAGGGGAGAGAGATGCAATGTTCTGAATTATAAGATAAATTGGCACAGCACAGTTTCAGTGTGAAAATCTACTGTTACACTGCCTCTCTCCAGAAAGCAGCAGCGCTCCCTTAGTCTGGACTGAGCTGTACAAACTCAAGCCTGAAAGGAGCATTAAAAAACCAAACCGGCTGCCATCAAGTCGATTCCGACTCATAGCGACCCTATAGGACAGAGCAGAACTGCCCCATAGCGTTTCCAAGGAGCAGCTGGTGGATTTGAACTGCTGACCTTTTGGTTAGTGGCCGAGCTTTAACCACTGCGTCCCTGAATACTAGCTGTGTTTCCAGCCTGGTCAATGGATGTTGGCTGTGGTAGTTTTAAAATATGCCTGCAAATTCTTTGATATGCCTCCCTTCAAAAGGTGAGGTCTAGTTTCCTTTCCCTTGAATGTGGCCCGCAATGACTCACTTCTAATGAACAGAACGTGGCAGAAGTGGTGCTATGTGACTTCTGGGGCTAGGCCATAACAAAGCTACCTTCCAATGGATCTCTCTCTGGGTTTGCTCACTCTAGAGGAAGCCATCTGCCATGTCTTGAGGACATTCAAGTGGCCCTGTGGAGGTGCCCACATGTGGAGATAATCTATGTGAGTGGGTCACCTTGGAAACAGGTCCGCCAGCCCCAGTGAAGCCTTCGACTGAGTCCAGCCATTGCAGAGACAAGCCATCCCCACTGTGCCCTGTTAGAATTGCTGACAGAAACTGGGAGATAATAAATGATTATTGTTGTTGTAAGCTACATTGGGTAATCTGTTACATAGCAATAGATGACTAATATACTGACTTACCCTCTCGGCCCACCAGAGACTTGTATCCTGGCTCTGTCTCGCAGGGATGGGGAAGGGACATGTTAGCGCTAAAAGACTCCTTTGTAGGGAAAGATGTTTTTCCAAATTGTGGTGAACATGCTTCTGGCTTTATAACCATGGAAGGACTTTTCCTAGGACTGGAAAAACTTCATTATGAAAGCGAAGTAATGATTCTGCTAAAACCACTTAAAATATCTAGTTACAAAACTTGTAACAACCAGCTTTAAACCTTCTCATGTCTAGTTGTTTTGACCAAAGGTTTTATCTTTTATATATTTGTCATTGTTTGTCAAGAAAGCAGTGCAAAATTCAAGGCTTTTTGATCCAAATTGTTGGAAAAGTCTTTCATTTATTTCCCTCTTCTTCTACTCACTCCCAAAATATTAGCTATAATTCCTACCCTACTATTTCCAATTTCACAAAATATCTTGTCAATGTGGAACAACCTCTTTTTCATAGTCAAGGACTGAATCCAAAGACTTTCAATAGAAAGAAGGTCAATGAGAAGTTGTGTTGTGTCTTGCAACTTGGAAACTGAGCAAATTCCTCAGCACCAGTGTCTTTATGTTAGACAAGCAGTCAAGCTGGGCGGAAATGCTGAGGCCCTTCTGTTAGTGATGTGTGAAAAGGTGAGGATGGACCCCTTCAGCTCTCGTATCTTACAAAGACTATGCACAGGCAAGAATTCAATTTCACGTCGTGCCTGTTATGAGCAAAGGCCTACCCAGTGGCAGCAGAATGTTCAAGACCAGAGAAAGATACCGTGACCACACTGTTCACATTTCAAGGCTGACACTGACAGTGTGCTAGATTTCTCTAGTAGCTGACCACAGAGGGCAGGACACAGAACATTAACAAGCTGACCACATCTGGCAACAAAGGCAGGGGCTCTTGGACAAAGGTCCCACGGTAGCAAATGAGAAAACATATTCCAAGTAGCTGACACTGATACACACTTGTGCTAGGAGCAAAAATTTCTAACTTTCTCTAGTTTAGCTCAAATAAATCTAACCCCAAGGAGCTGTGTTTATCAAGTCCTATACTAAGGAATCACTTGTAGAGTGCTAGGCCTTTATGATGTAGTGCCCCAAACCACTTAAGCCTGATCCAAATTGCCTTTGAGTCCTTTAGGAAAGAGGATCTCTGGCCAGGTGGCAGAAGTCCTGGCCTTCATTCAGGACTACCCTGACACTGCTATTTAGTCTGTTTACTAAACAACGCAAAACTCAACAATCCCTCCAACACCATCATTACCTGAGGTGGGAAATGCTGGGAGCAGCCAGTTTATTTGTTCGTTCACTGCTTTGAAGCCTTGTCCTTAATTCATTCATCTCTGCATCTTTAAACTGGAGTTCAGACTGTAACGATTGGAGCTAAAAGGCAAAAGAAACATACAAACTATGTATGTAGTGGCCCTATCAGATATACAAAAATATCTCTGGGCTTCAAAATCTCAAGCTAATAAACGAAAACCAACAGAAGCTAAGTATGAAAGTCTGCTGTGATATGTATGTCCTAAAATGTCAAACTTTAGCCTTCTTTCTGAAAGATAGCTTGCTGCTCCAGAAAGATATTTTGACCCAAACTCTTGTCAGGATAGTTTATGAGGGTTTGAATACCAGCCCCCTCACTTACTTAGCCTCCCTGAATCTTAGCTTAACTGTAACGTAAAGACAATCTCTAGCTTCATCGTGGTTGGGGGCATTCAATAAGAATAACGTAGTGTACAATTTCAGGTCTTCTTGCAAGTCTGGGTAGAGTATTCAGAATAGTTTTACCAAAACCCTGTGTGGTGTAGGGAGACCTGATGCTTTGGCCCCCAGGGCCTGTTATAGCCAGCAGTAACTGCCGTCATTCACCAAGCACACTCCGGGCCAGACACAGCACCAGACGTGGTAAGTGCAGGAGCTTTTATTTTCCCAACATTCTGGTTACTTCCTGGCACAGATAAAGGAAATGCGCCATGGAGCTTAAGTCATTAGCCTGAGATCACCACTTGCATGTGATGAAGCCTGGATCCAAACTCCAGTTTGTGTGATGGCAAATCCCCTGGCTCTTTACCACTTATATGGAAAGTCAATTACTGCTATTAGTACCAGCCACAGGTAAATGCTTATGTCAAGTTTACTAAATTTGCTGAATGAAGTAACAGCAGAGTAAGACTCTGTGTCCTTGAGATGGAAGCATCAGGAAGTGCTGAAGGACAAGTGGTGGTACGTACTTGTGATGTGACTGACTACTTTTATGTGGCCTTTCTAGCCATGGTCTTGTAACTCCCACCCAGGGGATTGGGCCATAGGGTAATTGTGGCCCACCAAGGGGATTGGTCAGTTTTGCCTTCAAAGAGAGCCAATTCCAGAGCAGAGAGAAGGATCCTACCACTACCAAGGAAGAACAACCAGGAGCAGAAAGCGCATCCTTTGGACCCGGAATCCCTGCACTGAGAAGCTCCTGGAAGCAGGAGACGGAGAGAGAGACAGCAAGCTTTAACCCTGAAGACGGTCAGAAGCAGTGGCAGGAAAGACCCAGCAGCAAAGACCCGGCAGCAGAAGACGGTACAGTGGGCTTCCTGGCCCACAAAGAGAGAAAGCTGAATGCCTCTGGGGAGAGGCCTAGGGCCAGGGAGAGGCATGCCTGCAAGCATGGTTGGGAAGAGGCTGTCCTGATGGAAGAACTATATCCTGAGTATTCTTCAGCCTGAATTGTAATAGATACTTCCCTAGTAAACCCCATAATCGCGAAAATTGACTGCGAGTTCTGTGTGGCCGTTGCAATGAATTATCGAACCCAGTAGAGAGTGCTGTGGGAGGGACAGTTGGTGTCAGAACTGGTAAAAATGGCAGAGAGAGAGGGCATGTCTGACCCCTGCCTCATAAGAATCAGCCGTGGGCTGTTGATCTTGGTTTTCCTTTCCCCTTGTAGGGTTGGAGGAGGTCAGACACTGCCCCCATGCCGTTTTTATAGTACTGGACACCTACTGTTTTTCTTCCCAGAACAGCATCTTCTTCCCCTTGGGAAACCCTCATTTCCCTACCTCTGACTATGTGATATGGGTGGGAGTTGCCAACTCTTTGGTTACAGAGACTGGTCAAGGAATAGGCAACTGCCACAAGTTTAGACCAATCAGAGCCTTCCCCAGAATTTTAAAACCTGAGATGAGGGAGCCCAGGTCTTAACTCTGCTCTAGAGCTATGAAATGTGAGCCCAGGAGCTTCTGGAGACCACATTCCCTACCATAAGGACGAAGCCTGTGTATAATGTAGAGAATAAAGATGAGTCCTGGCAATGTCTGAGTCATTCAAGGCCCCACCACACCCCTGCTTCTCCCAGACTTGGTTATGGAAGCCAATACATTCCCTTTTGGCCTAAGCTAGGTCAGCTGAGTTCCTCATCTACCAAAGGAGCCCTAACTTAAGCCTGTGCCTCAAAACCCTAAGCTAGTGATTTATTCCTGCCAAGACCAACCGCCACAGCAAAGCTGAGTTTCATCTAAGTCCTTTTCCAAACCACATGCACCGCCTGGAAGAAAAGTGCACAGCAAGTAGCTGACGGCACAAGAACTTAAACAACGGCTGAAATCTCCCAGCAGATTTACAGGCAGCTTTGGTCATTGCTTCTAAAGGAACTCAGTGAGCAGGCAAAGCTAGTGTCCATAACATGCACAACAAATATTCTGGGTCACCTTTTTGGAGAATTCCTTTTCTTTGTCACTCAGTGCTTGAGCTCTCTCTTGCTCAAGAAGGAAATGTGATCTCTTCTGTTCCTCTAGAATGGATTCTGTATGATGCAATGAATCCCGCAAGATTTTAATTTCTCCATTTTTAACGAGGACGTCTTCTTCCATTGCCTTCAGCTGTAAATCCCAAATCAATCTTGTGAAAACTTTGTAAGGGAAAATCACATATGTACCTGTTTTAAAGTGTTGTTTTAACATGTAAGGAATCCCTAGCTAGTGCAAATCGTTAACGCGCTGAGCTGCCAACTGAAAGGTTGGAGGTTGGAGTCTACCTAGAGGAGCCTTGGAAGAAAGGCCTCGTGATCTACTTCTGAAAAATCAGCCACTGAAAACTCTATGAAGCACAGGTCTACCCTGACACATATGGTGTTGCCACGAATTGGAATCGACTTGACAGTAACTGGTTTGTTTTTTTTAACATGTAGCTGGGGAGAGCGAGAAAGCACAGAAAAACATGTCCTATAGACCAAAGAGTACTCAAAATACATCTAGCCAAAATACTTCGCCATGGTCTGCTAGGCCTGTTCGTGGGACAGCTGATATTCAGCAGGATAGCATAGGGACACACTTGTCATTCATACACACAGATTTTTAGGCTCTGATAAACAATCTGGGTCACATACTTCACAGAACTTAAATACCACGTTATGTTCCTCGTTTCCCTAGAGACCTATAGAACATATGATGGATGACCACTTTCTTGCAAAGCTGCTAATGAATATAGCAACCATTACAATGTTGTGCTCATCATGTAAAGATATATGCTATAAATCTGTCTCAGTGCTGTAACAGAAAAAGTTTGTATCTCTTTTTGGAACTGGTGTACAGTGTTTCCTTTCTTGCCTTGGCTGTTAGGAATCTCAGGATTTAGTTTATTTCAGCCTAAATGTTCTGGCTTTCTTTTCCCAGTCTTCTCTCATTTCATCCCTCAGTTGATGAATCTGGGCCCTTGTTTAAAAACTTTTGTATATTTTATTGTATGAGAGTTTATAATGCATGAATAAGTGAATGAATTAGCTCAACAAGGATAAGTCAAATCACTTACCTTTTCTTTAAGTTCTTTGTATTGCGCCTGAAGTACCTCTAATTCAAAATTATCTTTAACTGGCGTACTTTCTCTGCTTTTTCCTGCAGGATTTTTATTTTTTGACATCCCATCTATTCTGGGGACCTTATGAACACCTGTAAAAAATAGTTCCCATATACATGTCAGGACCCAACATTTCCCCACTTTTGCCAGACAATGCTGAGAAGACTCACTCCTGAAAGCAAATTAGAGAAAGATCTATTAAGCAATACAGGTATTTTCCAACCTAAGAACATAATTCAAACTCATAAATGATACTTAAGAAATAACAGTTCCTGCCCTGGTAGAGTGGTTAAGAGCTTGGCTGCTAACCAAAAAGCTGGCAGTTTGAATCCACCAGCTGCTCCCTGGAAACCCTATGGGGCAGTTCTACTCTGTCCTATAGGGTCGCTATGAGTTGGAATCAACTTGACAACAATAGGTTTGGTTTTTGGCCCCCACCCCCTACCGGCCACCCAATCCCAACAGTCTCATCTAAGGGCTGAAGGGTTATGTGGGTGCCTCACTGGCCAGAAGTCAGTGATCTATTATTCAATAATGTTTACTGAGCACCTACAATATGCAAGGCACAATGTTAAGCTCTAAGATACAAAGGTGAGCAAAAATGGATATAGTTCTTACACTCATGGAGCTTATAGGACATTCAACAAATAATCACACAAATAAATGTACAATTACAACTGTGATAAGAGCTGCAGAGGACAAATACAAGAAAGCCTTTAATAGGAGGATTTGACCCAACTGGAATGAGTGGAAGCTTCTTTAAGGAAGTGATGACCGAGGTGAGAGCTGGAGAACAAGCAGGACTTAACCCAAGGTCTTAGTTTCCTAGTGCTGCCATATCAAAAAATACAAGCAGGTGGCTTTAAAGAACTCAGTTGTGGAGGCTAGAAGTCCAAACCAGGGCAACAACTAGGGGAGGGTCCTTCTTTATCGCTAGCCCCCGGCGTTCCCGCTTGCAGCCAATTCCTCACAAGGTCTCTTCTCCCTGTGTGTGACTGCGTACATTCTACTCTTTTTATAAGACACCATTCAGAGGGATGAGGTTCAGGACTCACCCTACTCTGGTATGATATCATTACATAATAAAGGAAAACCTCTATTTCCAAACAGGCTCATATTTACAGGGATGAAGACTTCAACATAACTTTTCAGGAGACACAATTCAACCCATAATACCGCATGAATGAGGATGGGGAATGGATGGAAAGAACATTCACTGTATAAGAAACAGCAGTGTGCAAAGTGTGTGTGCTGTAAGGAAGCGGAGAAAATCCAAGGAATAAAGGATGGTCAGTGTGGCTAGAACCCAGAGAGTGGAGGGCTAGACCACGTCGGGCCTTGCAGGCCAGGTTAAAGATTTTGGTCTTTATTCTAGAAGCAGTGGGAAGTCATTAAAGGGCTTTCAGCATGGATGTTCACTGCGTGAGATACAGCCATATTTGAGTTTGGAAGAGATCACTGTGGCCGTGGTGTGAAATCCGACTTGTAGGGAGACAAGAGAGGAAATGGGGAGACAATTTAGCAGACTATTGTCCAGGGGAGGGATGATGGTAGCACAGATCAGGAAGATGGCAAAGATGATGTAAAGAAGATGGATTCCAGAGAGGATGTAAAAGGTGAAGTTGACAGGATATGGAATGGAATTAGATGTAGTGTTGAGCAAAGGGGAGGAGTCACCTTGTACCACTGGCTGAAGAGTGGCGCTAGTCACCGTCACGTGGAACATTCTGTTATTGAATGTTTTCTCAATGCTTGCTTTGCCACGTACCGTGCTAAATGGGAACTGGTTCTCTGGGAAATGGTTGAATTTAAGATGCCTGTGAGACACTCAAGTAGAGATGTAAGGTGCCCTCAAAGACCCTCTCTTTCTGGGAGCCCTGCAAGACTTCTCTCATTCCTCAATTACAGTGTAAGCTCCATGAGGGAAGGGTCTTTGTCTTTTGTTCATTTCTAGGTCCACTGCAGTTCCTAACATTTGGGCACCTAGCACAATCCTGGCACAAGACTGAATTAGTCCCTTTCATCCCTCCCCTCCACCAATGCCCCAAGCAGGACAGCGGGCTTTGTAACATCCAAAGCTTTCCAAACCTGCCCACAAGAATGGACAGTGATGGTTCTGGTGGTTTCGGTAGTCGTGTTCCAAGGATCTCTGCTGAGAACCAAAAACTGAGTGGTCCAAACTTTAAACTGCAGTAAATTCGAACCTAGCTTTCTATATTTCAAATCAGCTGTTTGACATTGCTGATGCAGTTCTCCCTCAAATCAAAGGACCTTTTGGAACACAACCTCTGCTTAAATCGGGGTGTTCCTATTCTTAAAAAGGTGAAGGGCAGCGTGAAAGCTAAACACCCGAGCAGTGGTCGCCGTGCGGTTCCGAAGCCGCGGCAGTCAGGGATTGTCACCACTCTCTAGGGAAGAGGCCCCGAGGCGCACTCACTGGACGCGTCCCGAACCGTGGCCGGGTATTGGCTCAGGGCCTGTGACGCGAGGCTGTCGAGCTCCTCCAGGTCGTCGGCGGTGAAGTCCCCTTGCGCGCCGAATGGGTCTTCGGGGTCCGGAGCGGCAATGGGGAAGCCTCGGGCCCGCTTGCTTGGGGGGTGCCCGGCGCCAGGCGGCGGGCCAGGGCGAGGCGCCGGGGACCCGCTTCTCCTTCTGTGGCCCGGCGCTGGGATCCCAGCCATGCCTCCCGCCGGCCCCAAGTCTCCGAGGGCCCGGAGACAGCCAGGTGGTCGCGGGGCTGGGGGGCGGGTCTAAACCAACTGCCCGCGCGCCGCCGACGCCTCAGCCGCTGGTGCCACGCCCCCAAGCCCATGGGCCAATTAGCTGCCAGCTAGAGGGCGCGAAGGAATGACACCATCCTAGCGCGCCGCTGCGGTCAACGGGGTCCCCTACCCTCTGTCGTGACCCGCCCTTCTTCGCCGAGTCCCCGCCCCGCCGGACGCTAGGATTCTAGCGGCTGGGATGCAGTAGTCTACCGCGAGGACCAGGTGCGGCACGATCCCAGTTATCCGGGTTGGGTGTCCGAGACGCACCCGCCCCGCCGGGCGGGCGGCTCTAAGCCCCCTCCCTAGCCCCCTGTGGGATCCACAGAAGCGCGGGAGGAATTCGCCTTGACATTTACATGTGTGCGTATGAATTGAGGCAGACAGCACTCAGGGATCTGGCCTCTGTACCTCGCTGTCCTCCCGCCAGACTCACCGGGAAGGAGGCCAGGAGCGTGGGATTAGGCAAGGAGCAAGAAGAGGGCGGTTATGAACAGATTCATCTTCGAAAATCGTAAATGTTTCAAGTGTGTGCATTTGAAGTAGGCCTGGGGAGAACGGCTAAGAAGGGATGATGCTGAGAAGGATTTGCCTGCCTGTTGGAGGGCAGTGGGAACTGCTCAGGTTACGATTTGTTCATTCATCCCTGAGAGGGCTGGAGAATTTTTTGTCCCAAGCTGTGGTCTTATAGAAACGGATGAGGCTCAGAAGGTCAAGGAAGGCTCCTTGGAAGTGGCACCTGGGCTGTCCTGCAGGATGAGTAGGAGTTAGCTAGATAAAGGGGTAGGAAGCGGGCACACAAGGCTGCTCAGAGACAAAAACTCAACACTAAATGGAGGCCACACAGAGACCACACAAGTGCCGAGTAGGTGTCATGTATGGCAGAGAAGGGAAGTCTTCACAGAGGAGCAAGGATTAGAGCTGGGCTTGAGCACTGACAGGATTTTATTGGGCAGCAGTGGGGGTAGGCCAGTCAACAGGAATAGGGGTTTGGTGTTGGAGAGTAACAGGCAAAACTCTTTATCCTCGTGTGCTCAGTGCCAAGTTTAGCCTGTGAGTGTCCTGCCAGTGTTTGGGAGAGCAGTAAGTGAAAGGCAGATAGATTGCTGTCAGGGTTTAGAAGGCCCTGAATACCTAAGGAGCTTAGAACATTTTGAGGCAACTGGTGGTTTCCCTCAGATAGATGCTTAAATACTGAATGCTGAGAATTGCTGCAGAGCTCTATTCCTAGAAAGGGACAGGACTGTACTATATTCTACCAAATAAAAGAGCAGTAGCTTATCTCGGGCAGTGTGCTGGTGCTGAACTCAGAAGGGTGGTTCTCAGCAGCACAGGGGTTGGGCAGTCAGCAAGGCCCCACAGGGAATGCCTAAAGCCCAAAGAAGATGCTGCTGGTTGTGCAACCTTCTTGAAGAGGATCAAGGCAGACTAATTTTTTTTGGTTACTAGCAAATACATCACAGTCATAAAACAGGTTTAAATCTTTTCCAGTCTTTACTTGGCAAAATCTCATAATGATTCTAGAGTCCTTTTGAAAACACATCTTCAGAGAAACTTTAGCATTTTTCCCATAGTTGTATCAAGGGCCTGGAGGGGACTTACATCTCTGAATCAAGTGGTTCAACAAATGGTCTCTGTCCTGGAGTTTACATTTTAATCAGGGGTCGTAGATAAAAAAGCAGTCAGGAGGAGTAAAACAAGGCAGGAGACACTGGGACTATCATAAAGGGAGGAGCTCACTACTGTTTTCAGTTCTCTAACTGAAGTGAGGGAGCCTCCAGTATCTAGGTGAGGAGTGTGACAGGCGTAAGGGAAGAAATCACTGAAAACACAGTGAGGCAGCAGCTTGCCTGGAACATAGGCCACTGTGGCTGGAGATGATGATCAGTGGGACAAACAGTAATCAGAGGGAAACGTGCGGGCGGGGTCCGGATTCCTTAGGGCCTGACTGGTCACTGTAAGGACTTAGGCTTTTACCACTGAAGAATTTTGAGCCAAGAAGTGACGACATCTGATTTATAGTTTAGCAGGATCACTCTGGCTCAAGTGAAGATTACACTGCAACAGGGCATAGGTAATGGCAGAAAGAAAATTTGGATGTGACTGCAATAATCCAGGTGAGGGATTATAAGGTTAGAATGGGTAGTAGTATCAGAGGGAGTACGATGGGGCCAGATTTTATTTTGCTGATGGACTGGATGTGGGGTTTAAGATGTGGGAGGGAACCCAGCTAGGCCCTTTCTGAAGTCCTAGTGAAGTGCAGACCTACAGGCTTCTGAGCAAGTTTGGTTCTTGGAGACTTTGAAGAATCTCTATCTACTCCCCGACCCCCCTTTTTTTCTTTCTTCATAGCACATATCGTATGTATTTATCGGGCTCCTGCTCCCACAACAGAGAAGTCCCTTAAGAGCAAAAGCAGTTTTGCTGGTGCGATCTCCAGTGCCTGCACATAGTAGACTGCTTACATCAACAGATAACTCAGCAAAACACATTAGCAACGTGGATGTCACAACAGAAAAGGAGGGGTTAAGTTTTCTTTCCAAAGTATATTTTTCCACTAATCTCACATAAGGTATTCCATGTGGCACAACCACACAGGAATGACAGCTATTTCAAATGAGTTGGTTTAATTCCAGGTGATACAGAATCCAGGGCATAACAAAGATCGAAGAGCAGACTGTGGTGGGATTCTGGACTGGGTTTAGTCCACACAGCTAAGATAGGAATGGTTGAGTGAGAAGAACTAAACAGATGAACCACTGTATGATTTTTTTTTTTTTTTTTACAAAAGTTTATTCTTAAATGTACAACAGGCTCCAAGACAACACTTCATTCTAACTACAGGTGGCAACAGATGTTTTAGCACGGAATCCAGATGTTTAAACAGGAATGGAAACAAGGGTCACCATCGCCTCAGTCACAATGTACAGCTTATTTTTTGCCAGATTTCTTAATTCCACCTGTGGCTGCAAAAGGAAGGGGGAAAAAAAAGTCACAGCTAGGGAAGAACACAGTTCTTATGACAGAAGCCCCAGGGGCCTGATGTGGATCCTAATAATGCTTGACTCTTGTACTGGGCATTCTCTTTGACACACTGCACAGTAGCTTTACCAATATTATCTATTCTGAGTGCAAAGGTGGGATGAGGATGAAACGGGCACACGCAATGGGTGTGCACTGGTCTGGATCTACACTGTGTTTGTTGTGTACTTCACAGATAAGCTCATTTAATCCTCACGTCCTATCAACCCATTCTACAGATACAGAAATGAAGTCTTAAGAGTTAGATGTTGTTCAAGGTCATAAGCTCACATGTGATGGAGCCAGGATTCCAACCTGGGTCGTCTTGATTTCCAAGTCCACATTCTTAACTACCACACTATACTACACCACCTTCCGTATTACGACCCTGGGATCTGGCTTACTCACTATCTTTATTTTAAAGTCCAATTTACAAATGACAAGATGTTTCACACACAGTAGGTCATTTAAAAAATAGTTGTAGAATTAGGTATACCTAATACAACAATGAAATTCCAAAAGACCTCTGACAAAATAAACCTTAGAACAAAATTAGGTGATGCTCAATGAGTAGTACAGGGTTCCACTAAGGACTGATCTCCCTGTACACACAATCACAGATAGAGGGAAGGTGCAAGATACCTAACATACAACGAAACCTGTAAGAGCCGGGCCTCCAAGTTGTCTGCCTTTTACAGGGTGCAGTTTTACACTTTTCTATCACTCTCTGTCAGTGAAAAATACCTGAGTTTTCCTTCCCTGACAGGTTTCCATGTTATACAGGTTCTGTCTTTCCCAAGTTTTACTGTAATTCCCAAAGGGAATCTCGACAGCTAGAATCTGAGTGCTATGTGAGTGAACCATAATGGATCAAACTCACTGGCAGAGAAGTCTTGGGAAACCCTTAGGTGACACTCCACCATCTGGGCCTCCATCATGCCCAGTGTGGCTCATAATGCTCAAATAGGGCACAGATAACTGAAGAGGATCAAATCACTAGTCTGAAGAATGTAAACAGTGTTTAAAAAACACAGGAGGTACTAGGCTTGAAAAATCTTTTGAAATGTAATCAACCAATCCCTCTTCCCTTAAATAAAGGAAAAGAAAAGGTATATGAAACTTGATTTTTGCAGGCCTCTGAATAGCAAGTCAAGGAGCCTGGACTTTATCCTTTAGTCTAGGCACATGCAGAACTGAAAAGACTTAGAGCGCATATGTTTTTATTAGAGAGAACAATATCACCAATAAGTAAAATAAGTACTACAAAATACTATAGACGATAAAGAGATAATGAAATATGAATTTGAGGGAAGAATGTATGGAGAACAAGTGGAAACGCAGATCTGTATGAACTCGTGTCTACAATAAATGGATTTCTGTGATTCCACTTCTGCAACTCCTCTGAAGGAGGGAAGCAGATCTCGTTTCCAGGCCCAGTTGTGGCTTCTGCCCTTTCCCACTGCTGGGAATCCAAAGCTGACTAGGTTCCCCCTTAGCGGGTAGGAAATAAACGCGACCTCGCAGCTCACAAATAAGAACAGAAGCTGACCTGCCCGGGCCCACGTCTAGAAACGCGCTTGAAGCGTTTGTCCGGATCGAGCCCCACTCGAACCTCACTTACCCAGGGGGCCCTTCCCCGCGGCCTTCGCTTTTAACTCCTCGAGTTTCTTCTGCTCTTCTTTTTGTTTCTGCTTGAAAGCCTTATCTTCCTAGGGAGAAGTAGAGCACGTTCTCTCCAGGCCGGCCGCCCAGTCCCTCCGCGCCCGCCCGCGCCTCCGCGCCCGCCCTCACCTCGTCCATCTCCTTGCTCTGCTTCTTGGGCTGTTTCAGGGGCTTCTTCTTGCCACCTGTGGGCGACACAAGTACGCTGAGCCCGGCCCCGCCGCCCGCCCTGCGTACTCACGCTCAACCCGTCCTCGCCAGGTCCCTTCCAGCCCCACAGTCCCCAAGAACTCACCTTCCCGGCCGGACATGGCGCCTACCGCCCCTTCCCCAGCTCCGCCACCGGAAACCGAGCTCCCGACCCCACCTCCTTATGTGCCTATACTACCAGATGGGTCCTCTGATTGGCTGTTAGTCAGGAAGTTGTCTCCCGATGCCGGAAGTGGTCCTCCAGGGGCGGGCACTCAGGGGTCAGAGGACAACCGGGTGGCAGACGCTCTGTTGGAGTTGTGGCTTTGGCGCGGTACGGTCCTCTAGAGTGAGCTGGGGGGCAGGGAGATTTAGCTGGAAGGCGCCAGGCCTGTTACCGTGCACGGAAGAGCACTGCAGGTAGTGGGACGGGCACGTGCAAAGGCCTTGAGGCAGAAACGAGCTTGGCGCGTTCTTAGAACCGCTTGGATGAAGGGAGGTGGGAGGGAGGAGGTGTCCGAATTGGGCGGAGGCTGGATAAGCTGGTACGAGAGAGCTTTGGAGGCTGCCGGAAGGAGTTTGAGTTTTATAATATATCAGGGATGTGACTGCGAATTCTTTTTTTATTCATCCGGTATATTCTATTGAGTATCTACTATATGCAGGTGGTATTCTAGTTACTGGGGATACAGCAGTGAACGAAACAAAGTGCATGCCCTGGCAGAGCTGACATTCCAGTGGATAAGACGGACAGCAAACAGTAAATAAGTGAAATACATATCGCAGGTCATGTGATACATGTGGAGAAAAATAAAGCAAGGAAAGGGGGTAAGGAGTGCTGGGGTGGGGGTGGGATGGCGATTTCTGATAGAGTGGTCAGGGAAGGCCTCCCCAGGGGGTGACATTGGAGCAGGACTTGAAGAGGGAGCAAGTGGTGCATATAGCGAGCAGCTGGTGTGAAGGCCTTGAGGTGGGGGTAGCCTAGTGTGTTCCAGCAACATCAAGAGGTCCATGTGGTTGCAGCAGTGAGGAAACGGGGGGGGGGGGACAGTGAGAGATGAGGTCAGAGAGCAAGGGGAGCCAGGGAGTGAATGCCCCATAGGCCATGGAAAGAACTTTGGCTTTTACCTTGAGAGAAATGGGAAGCCATTGCACGAGTTGAGCAGAGAGAGACATGGTCTAATCTGTATTTTGAAAGGACCACTGGCTGCTCTGTTTAGAATAGACTGTAGGGGTGAGAGTAGAATCAGGGACGTATCAGGAGGCTGTTGTGGTAATCCAGAGGAGAGACAGTGGTTGGAACTAGGTGGTAGCACTGGCACAGATAAGAGCAGGAGGGCTCCAGGATGTAGCAAGGCAGTGGCATTTGCTGATGGATCCTACATGAAGTGGGAAAGACATGAGGAGTCAGGGATGATGGGAGGTTTTTTGCCTGAACATTTGCGGTTGGAGTTGCTGTCAGCTGAAATGGAGAAGACTGTGGGGAAGGCAGGACGATGAGGAGCTCAATGTTGGATCTATCAAGTTTGAGATCCCCATTAGCCTTCCAAGCAAAGATGTGGATTGGGCAGCTGAGTAAATGAGCCTGGGGACCAGGGAAAAGGTCTGGGCTGGAGAAGTCAGAGTGTAGATTTTTTTTTTTTTTTTTTAAATATACAGCATTATTGAGATATAATTCACGTATAATGCAATTCCCCATTTAGAGTATACAGTTCAGTGTTTTTTAAGTACATTCACAGTTGTGCAACCATTGTCACAATCAATTTTAGAACATTTTCATAGATGGTTTTTAAAGTTATGGCACTGGGTGAGATGACTGATGGAAAAAAAGGATCTGAGGACTGAGCTGTGGGGCACTACAGTGTTCAGAGGTCAGGGAGATGGGTGGAGGCTGGACGCCAAGTGATTCAAGGAGGAATGATCATGAAGCATAGGTTGCTGATAGGGCAAGTGAAATGAGGACTGGGAACTGATCATTGGATTTGTCAATATGGAGGTGACCTGGACAAGAGCAGTTCCAGTGGCATGGTGGGAGTGAAGGCCAGATCAGAGGGCGTAAGAGAATGGAAGTAGGGGAACTGGAGACAGTGAGTACAATCTGTCAAGGAGTTTGGCTGTAAAGAGCAGAGAAATGGGGTGGCTGTTGGAGAAGGGGTATCTGATCAATTACTGAGCAATGTCAGTGAAGAGAGGAGAGGACGTGGGACCTGAGGCACAGGTGGAGAGTTGGCTTTCCAAGGAGCGTGGAGTTTCTTCCTGAGGAACAAGAGAGAAGGCGGAGGGAATGGGACAGATACTGACAGGTGGGAAGGTGTAGTGGGAATTTGTGGATGTTCTCTTCTGATATTTTATATTTTCATGGTAAAAATGAAGCAAGCCATCAGCTGCAAGTGAGGATGAAGTACAGATGATGGAGGTTTGAGGAAAGGGCAGTTGGTAAGAGACAGTCATGGATTTGGAGGGACAAGATTCTGAAGATGGCTTTCTGGCCCGTACTTGACCTGGCCTCTGTCCCTGGATGGGTTTCCTTCCTGGGGTCCAAGAGTCAGCAGCTGGTGGAGGAGGAACAGGGAAAGGGGCTGAGAAGATCGGAGGAAGCTGAGAGGGGGCAGTGTTTTCAGAAGGAGAATGTTGAAAGCTGCAGAGATTGAGGAAGAAATCTGAGAAGCACCTACTGATCTGGCAAGGTGGAGGTTTTGAGGGGCCTCTGGGAGAGCAGCCTCTATGGTGGAGTGGGGAGGAGGCCAGGCTGGAGTGAGATCAAGAAAGAAGCGGGGAGGGTGAGGAAGTGGCGACTGCCACGCCAGACACTTTTCTGCTGAGCTTTGCTGGGAAGGAGAGTGGGTGCTGTGGGCGCAGGGGCTGCAGGGGTGCATGCTGTGCTTTGCTGTTCCTGCAGGGTTGTTTTGGGGTCACAGCTTGTGGGCAGTGAGCACTGGTGTTGAGGCCTGGGAGGCTTGCCCGACCCTTGCTCCTGGATGGTGTGTGCCCTGCTGGGCAATGGTCCCCAGCCTTATGAATGGGGTCCAGGGGTCCAGGTGTGGCACAAGCTTGGAACCACTGTCACAGAGGTGTCCCCTCCATGGCTCTCAGCTTGGGCCCACTTTGGCCAGGAGGCATGTCGCTATTCAACCGGCTTTGCTTTCAAGAGAGCCTGAGCTTCTCCAAAGACTGCTCCCAGCACGGCGTGAAGGGGAGGAGGCTTACCTCAGGAAGCCCTTTCTGTTTTGTAACTGGAGCTCCTCCGGCCTGTCTTCCTGCCCCCAGCTCCCTTTGCTTTTCTCTCTCTAGCCTGGTTGGTTGGCCACCAGGTGTCGCTGTGACAGCAGGAGTCACTACTTGGGGACCTTGGGATGTGGTTTGGTCAGAGGAGGGTGCTGCTGGCCCAGTTGTGGGTCACCTGGCCCCCATTTTGGGGTCTTCAGAGTGGCTACTGTTGTTGAGTTTGGGCCAGGCCTGACTGCGGTTAATGGGAGACTCCCGTGCAGTTCAGATGTGGAGAAGTAGGCGTTAGGACCCAAACAGCAAAGCGGGGTTGAAAAGGGAAGGATTAAAGAAACCTAACCTGTTGAGCAGTGACTAAGTTCAGGGAGGAGGGAGAAGGCTTAGGGAAGGTGAGAAATGTGAGACTGGGAGTTGGTAGCCTGGGAAGTCTGGGGTTGGAGGACAGAAGGAGAAGGGTTGGTGTGAGCCTAAGTTGTCTTCTGTGAAGATCTGTGCTTTTCCTGGAATTGTCCTCTTAGAGAAGAGCTGGGAGTTCTCTGCTTTGGGACAGGAGTGACCTATGCCCTCCTGTGTGAGCAAAACTCTGCTTCCCCAGTGCTGAGGCTGCCCTTAGGGACTCTGGGAAGTTGGTTTTGAGTTTGTTTTTTGTTTTTTTCCAGAAAAGACACTGGAAATCCCCTCTGTTCCACAACTTTCCCGAGAGTCTTATGAATCTTTTTGGGGGCTTTGTCAGCATGGGCATGACTCAGAGTTGAGAACTTTCTCTTGATAGTATCAGAAAGCTGGGCACCGGGATTCATCCAAGTCACAAGAGATCTGGGGAATGCAGGGAGGCGGGTGGGATGGGAGGGTCTGGTTTGTGTGGCCTCATGGAGGGAAGCAGAAGCCGTGATTTTCTAATTATGGCCTTCCCCAGATGTGTTCCTTTGCCCAGGAGCACCTAGGGGCAAACCTGACTACCCTCCTGCTGTGGGGGCTGCAATCCCTGGGCCAGCCAAGAGGCGCTCAGATTAGATGTCTAATGGAAATTAGTCAGTTCAAAACTGTCCCTAGGCCTTGAGACCTGACTTATGCCCACAGCCCTTTCTCAGCTGTGAGCTGATCTGTCTGGCGTCCCCTCACAGATCTCCCGATGAGAGGGCGCAGCTCTGTGTTTGCCATGCAGCACATCGTGTGTGTGCCCCATGTACTGGTGCGGAGAGGCCTCCTTGGAAGGGACCTCTTTATGACCAGGACTCTCTGCAGCCCAGGCCCCAGCCAGCCCGGAGAGAAGAGACCTGAGGAGGCAGCCCTTGGGCTGTATCACCGCCTCACAACGCTGGGAAGAGCCCTGGGGCACAGCATTCAGCGACATGTGTCCTCCACAGCCAAGAATTGGTGGGACAGATATGAAGAGTTTGTTGGACTCAATGAGGTTCGCGAGGCCCAGGGAAACGTGACTGAGGTGAGGAGGGGAGCGGGATGGTTGCCCTACCTTCTGGCTTGGAAAATGCTGCCTGGAGGCTCTCGCCAAATAAGTCACCAGCCACGTGGTGCTGGGAAGCCACATCCAGACTTGCCTTTTCTTGAACAGATACCACTGGTAGAGGCATCCGCCTCACTTCTCACATGAAAATCTGAGTTTAATACTACTAGGGTGAAGGACTTGGGTGTAACTGTATTCCCCACCCTCCCTGAAGGCAGTTGTGGTCTGATAAATTCCTGATGATTAACATCCATTGGCCGCAAACACTTCCTTCGTCGACTGTTTGGGGGATTGGTGGTGAGAGTTGCCAGGGGTTTGCTGTCCACAGAGCCTGTGTGTAATTAAAACATCCCTGTGAAAGTAGAGGCCACTGGGAAACATCGGACTATGAGGGGGACAGAGCTGCCTGTAATTGTCAAGTCCTTTATGGCAGCGGAAGTGGATCCTGCTGTCACCGTTCCCACTCCTGCGTAGGCGTGCGGATCAGTATAGCGAGATGGGAAGAGCCTGGGCTTCAACTGGAGGCTTTGAGGCAAAGTGCCATCTCTCCCCTTGGAGACTGAGAGAGCCTGGCCAAGCCCGAGTTTCCAAGTCCAAAAAATGGAGACCGGAGCAGTGCCTCTCACGGTGTTGTTTTGAGGGGTAAGGTAGCACAGGAAGCAGCACAAGCATTTAGGTTCCTTACTGTGTCAGACGAGAGTTGCTATGTTTGGTGGGCACAGGTTGTGTGCATTGTTAGCTATTTTCCAGTTTCTCAGGGGCACATTATTCCTACTTGAATGGATAAGTCCCATGATTCTGATGGGCGTGGCTCGAGGCTGCACTTTGAGCACCACTAGGGGAGCCAGGATTAGTGTGTGAGGGACTCTGTTTCCACCCTTTGCAGCTGACATCCCAGTGACCTCTTAGCCACAGCCTTGTTGAGAATAGAGCTGAGCCAGTGTACGCATGGTGAGAAGGGGCAGACAGCCTCTGTTCTCTTTGCAGGCAGAGAAAGTGTTCATGGTGGCTCGTGGGCTTGTCCGAGAGGCCCAGGGGGACTTGGAAGTTCAGCAGGCCAAACTGAAGGAAGTGAGGGACCGCTTGGACCGTGTCTCCAGGGAGGACAACCAGTATCTGGAACTGGCTACTCTGGAGCACAGGATGCTGCAGGTAGGCACCTCTGGGGGCAGCCCTTCCCACCAGAACAGGGACCCTAGCCTGGCAGGTCATGGAGGGGTGAAGTGGGAACCCTGACTGGTCTGGTGGGCAGAGGTCTGATGAGGAGGTGAACCAGAAGCTCCTGCTGAGGGCCAGGACCCCAGGCTTCCTGGGCCTGTCCATCTGCTTCTTTCTGGAGCGCTGGGACCAACAGTCCAGAGCAATATAGCCTGGGACCCAGACTGTGAGGAGAGAGCACCATAGCGGGGCTGGCCCTTATAGACACGTTCTGTAGATACCAGCGCATGTTTGGTCAAGCCCAGGACGGCTCAGGTGGGAGGATAGTGCAGGTCACCTAGACCACCCCCATTCTTTGGCTCCGCCCACCCAATCAGGTTTATGCTACCCTCATCCCATCTGCACATGTTTATGGAGCATGTACTCTGTGCCAGGCACGAGGCTAAGTCCCAGGGACATGGTGGCGGGGCATCTGCTGGTGGCTCAGCTGCAGGGCCTCATTGCTACTGTATGACGCAGCTTTGCTTCTGCAGGAGGAGAAGAGGCTTCGTACGGCCTATCTGCGTGCAGAAGACTCTGAGCGAGAGAAGTTCTCTCTCTTCTCCGCAGCTGTGCGGGAAAGTCATGAGAAGGAGCGCGCTCGGGCCGAGAGGACCAAGAACTGGTCCCTCATTGGGTCAGTCCTGGGGGCCCTGATTGGTGTGGCCGGCTCCACCTATGTGAACCGCATACGGCTACAGGAGCTGAAGGCCTTACTCCTGGAGGCACAGAAGGGGCCTGTGAGCCTCCAGGAGGCCATCCGGGAGCAGGCATCCAGCTACTCCCTCCAGCAGAGGGACCTCCATGACCTCATGGTGGACCTGAGGGGCCTGGTGCATGCTGGGCAGGGGCAGGGCTCTGCGTCCCAGACAGGTACTTCCCCCACCCAAGTCAAAGACACAGAAGTCCTTTCAGCTGCCTTGCAAGAGCAGATCAGCCATTCCAGGCAGGTCCATTCATGTCTCAAGGGTTTACAAGAGCAGCTTGACGGCCTGGAAAAGACTTTCAGCCAAATGGCTGGGGTGGTTCAGCTTGCAAAAGCTGCAGTACACCCAGGCCTGGCTGAGCAGGCAGACCGGGCTCCACCCAGCTCCTTGCTGGAGCAGGGGAGTATGCTCTTGGCACTGTCGGACATGGAGCAGAGGCTAGAAGCCCAGGTAAACAGGAATGCTGTCTACAGCACGCTGGTCACCTGTGTGATGGTTGCTGCCACGCTGCCTGTGCTCTACATGCTCTTCCGGGCCAGCTAGCCCCCATATCCTCCTCCAGAGGGTCTGAGGGGTTAGGTGTGGATGTAGTTAGAGAATCCCAGCAGTGAAGTGAGCCTTAGGGGTGCACCCAACCTCAGCCTGAGCCCTGAGCCCCGTCGGTGTAGCTCATCTGTGTATCTGGCAGACATACTTGGCTTTTTAGGTTAATGCTTATTGACATTCATCATGAAAACTTTGTGTTAATGTCCAATAAAAGTATTTTTTAGTTTGTATTATTTTAAATCAATTTATATCAGACTGAGTTTTGTCCATTGAAAACTGAGGTCTGTGACTTGTGGGTTGGGCCTGGAGTTAGGGGACTCGCCCCCCTTTAGGCCCTCTCATCTCTCTTGGTCTTGTCCTCTTTAGGACTGTTTTTTATGCGCTCACCCTGTGGGCTTGGGCTTTCGTTTTGGATTTCCTGGCCTGACTTTCCCGTGTCAGATGGTGTGGGGGTTCTAGTGAGGGAAACCTAGCTTGCTGCCCACCTACTGGTGACCATGGTTATGTCCCCTCTTCTGGGTCACTTTCTTTGCTATTGGGCGTTCTAATGCTGGAAGAAGGAGCCCTGGTGGCATAGTGGTTAAGTGCTCGGCTGCTAACCAAAAGGTTGGTGGTTCGAACCCACCACCCGCTCTGTGGGAAAAAGATGTGGCAGAATGCTTCCGTAAAGATTACAGCCTTGGAAACCCTATGGGGCAGTTCTGCTCTGTTCTGTAGGGTCACTATGAGTTGGACTCAATGCAACAGGTTTTTAATGCTTTAGCAATGATCAGAGGAGAGCAGGAAAGACGGATTGGGGGACATAATTACAGGGAGGGATAGCCAGTCTGGGTCCATGGGGCAGAGTGCTTTGGGTAGCACTGGAGTGCCACTGGGCTTGGAGTGTCCTCCCACATACAGCCTGAGGACGTCCCTGACAGGCCTGGCAGAGCTCAGCCCACCAGCAGTGAATGGAGAGGCAGCAATGGGGAGGGGCCTCCCAAAGGTGGGAGGTGCAGTGAGGCATGGAGACAACAAGCCCTGAGAACCCCTAACTGCTCCCTTTTCAGAGAACATCGACCCTTGACCTCGCAGGCTAAACGGCCATGGGTGGCCTTGTGTGCCCTTGAGTAAACAGGAACAGTGGGAAGGCACTCTATACTCGTGTGTACTGGAGTATTAGAGAATCTGGGTCTGGTACACAGTACCCCTTTCAGGGCACACTGAGGCCGAGTGCAGGGTCTGTGGGTAGGGGCTCATTCAGCTGGGTGTGAGACAAGTATTTTCTGTGTGGCACCCTCCCCTCCTGGAGCCTGTGCTCGCTCAGGCCTGGGCAGTGATTATGGCGCAAATGGCCTCACAGTGTCCCGAACCTCTGAGTCCTGGTTCCTCGGTCATTTGGTCACTCCTTCCTCAGCAGTGTTTTCTTCATGTAGTGGCTCCCCAGGATGGGGTGAGCTGAAATGACCCCTGTACTTGTTCACACTCCTAGTGGGGCAGGAAGCATCATGTTGATAGAGGCTATGGGGGTCAGAAGTCCCAGGTCCCGCTCTGCGGTGACGTGGGTCCTGAAGGGTGCACACTTGAGTGAATGGATTTCGGGGGCAGGATTCTAGGTATGTGGAAGGGGCCCTACCAGCTGCAGAGGCAGAAAAGCCAAGGTGGGTGAGGGCTGGTGGCCAGACTGACCTGGTTGAAGTGATGGATGTGGGGGAGTTGTGGAGCATAACGTTAGAGTGAGGACCTGGACTGCCATGTTGGCAGGCACAAGGGATTTCTGGGGTCAGAGGTCAAGGGTGAGGGAACTGGGAAGGGAGGACCATGCTGGTGCAGGTGAGGTGCTCAGTACCTGGACTCAGGTGGGAGGAAGAATTTGAAAGACTCAGAGCCTGGTACATGAGAGGATGAAAGGAGGCCCCTTGATAAGGGGTGGGAAGGGGGTACCTCTTCGGGCAGTAGCCAGTGTGGATGACCAGAACATCCTCCTGGTTGAGGCCTCTCCCTATCCTGTGTGTGATGGATTTTGCTTCCCGGGAGACTGGCCCAATGGCCTTGAGCCAAAGTTCTAGAGAAGTCCTAACAGAATGGGCCAAGTCCTGAAATGGGCAGGCCAGGATGTAAACGGCCCCCGCAGAGGGTACAACTGGGCCTTGAGGAGAGAACCCTTCCACCCAGCGTTCCCGCCAGTGAAGGCCCAGGTGTTTGCCAGTGAGGGAGTACAGACTTGCCCAAGGCCACTTTTCGGGAAAGGACCAGGTACAGGCCTGGGAGGAAAAGAAGGAAATGCTCCCCGGCTGTGCACCTCTGTGGCCGGTGCCCTCCTTTAATAGCCCGGCTAGGCGTGGTATCACCCCCATTTGCCGGTGAGCAAATAGGCTTGGGGGTCAGGTTACCTGGCTTAGTGATGGCGTAAATCCAGGCCCAACCCCAAAGCCCGGGCTCTTCCAGCACAGTGAGAGGTGGGGGCCGGAAGGAAGGGTTGGCTCCTGGGGAGTCTTGGGAGAAGGGGCGGTGGGCAAGACGAAGTGTTGTGGGGAGAATCAAGGCACCTAGGAGTTGAGGTAAAGGAAGCTGGGAGGACGATCACAGGAGCCAGGTACTCAAAGGAAAAGAGAGAGCTAAGGGCGCTGCGCTGGGCAGGGTGGTGACTGGCGAACAGGCCTGGCAGGTGAGGGGCACGGGTCCGACCTGGGGCAGGCAGGGCCGGAAGAGGCCCGGGCGTTGTACCTTGGGGTGCGGAGCGCGACCCTCCTCGCTCCCAACCCGGGAGGGCTTCCAATTCCGGTTCCAGCGCGGTGGGCAGGTGAGGCCCGGCGGGGGCGGGGCGGGGCCGCCCGCGCTCCAGGCTCCACTCC